CTTTGTTGCTGGCCACTTCACTGTATTTGTGTATTAGGGTCTTGTATGTATATTGTTAGAGTAATAGTAAAAATTTCACTTCTTTCCCAAATTTTGGATCCCTTTGATTTTTTTTTTTTCTAACCTGAATGTTGTAGCTAGGACTTCTAGTATTATATTGAATGAAAGTAAACACCGTGGACATTCTTACCTTGTACCTGATATAGAGGAAATGTTTTCAGTTTTTCACCATTAAGAATGATACTTGATATAGATACCTGCTGTTATCTTGGGACCACTGCTATCTTGAGTTAGGTTCCTTCCACCTCTTCTTTGTTTTATAATAAATGGGTGTTAGATATTATCAAAACTTTCTGTGCATTGAAAGATATGATCATATGATTTTTATCTTTCTTTTTAGCAGTTTGATGTATTGTTAATTGGTTTGCTTACGTTGAACCATTCTTGACTTCCTGAAATAAACCCCACTTGATTGTGTCGAATCATATTTTTTGATATGTTGTTGGATTTAGTTTACTAAGAATTTCTTAAGGATTCCTGCGTTGGTGCTCATCGGGAAAATGGTCTGAAATTTTCTGGACGTGTCTCTCTGCTTTGGGTATTAGTATATTAGCTTCATAGAAGGTGTTAAGAATTCCTGTTTCTTCAGTGTTTTGGAAGAACTTAAGGAGTTAAGGCAGTAAATCTTCTCTCAGGGTTTGATAAAACTCACCAGTGAACCTATGTAGACCAGGACTTTCATTAGGTTAATTGCTGTTCTGTGTCCTTAGTTGTGATTGATCTGTTCAGGCTTTTTATTTCTTTCACGTTCAGTTTTGGTAGATTACATGAGTCTAAGTATTTGTTCTAGGATTTCCAGCTTAAGAGCATTACATTGTTCTAAGTATTCTCTTATTATATTTTTAATTTCTTAGGGATCTCTTGTAATTTCTCCCTTTTTGTCTCTAATCTGGCCTATTTGGATATTTTTTCCTTTTTTTTCTTTCTCACAAGTCTAGCTGAAGGTTTGTCAATCTATTTATTTTCAAAGAACCAGCTCCTGATTTCATTGATTCTTTGTATTGTTTTCTTGGTTTCTATATTACTGATTTTTGCTCTGGTTTTTATTATTTACAACTACTTTTCGGGTTTATTTGTTTTTCCTTCTACTTTTTGGGTTAATTTGTTATTCTTTAGATTTGTTAGGTGTGTGTTTAAGTTCTTTAATTCATGATTAAACATTCATCAATTTAAAGAAGGCCTTTGATTCTGTTGAGACTGAACTGGTCATCGAAGCCCTAGCCAAACAGGGCGTTCAAACTCAATACATCAGGATCCTTCATGAGCTGTATTATGGATTTACTACCAGGATCTCACCATTCTTCAAGGAAGTGATCATCGACGTAAAGAGAGGGCTTCGGCAGGGTGATACCATCTCACTGAAACTCTTCAGTGCCACCCTTGAGAACGTCATGCAATGACTGAAATGGGAAGGAATGGGAGTGAAGATAGATAGTTGGCAACTACACCACCTCCGCTTCGCTGATGACATCATTCTAATAACACCAAACATTAGCCAAGCGGCACAAATGCTGGCTGACTTCAACTGTAAATGCGGAAAGGTCGAGCAGCAGCTGAATCTCACAAAGACAATGTACATGAGAAACGGACTCGTTCCTGACATTCCATTCTCTCTCAACAGAACGAACATTCCCGAATGCCTCAGTTATGTCTACCAAGGTCGAGAACTTAGTATGACGAACGGCCTGGCACGTGAGTTGCACAGGAAGAAGAGAGCAGCGTGGAATGCCTTCAAGAGCATCAAAGAAATAGCTAAGAGTACGAAGAACTTCGACTCAACCATTCTCCTTGCACTAACATATGCCTCAGAGACCTGGGCCCTACGAAAACAGGATGAGTAAGCTATTCAGGTCACCCAAAGAGGAATCGAAAGAGCCATGTTTGCAGTATCACGCTTCAGTCAAGTGGGAGAAGGAATCCGGAGTTCCGGCCTCTGACCTCTGTCAACGATCAAGAATCAGGGATGCTGTCTCGTTTGCCAAGGCATCAAAAATCAGATGAGCTGGACACATAATGTGATTTAAAGATGACCGTTAGGCCGGAGCCATTACAGACTGGATTCCACAGGATATCAAAAGAATGCGTGGCCACCCACCTACGTAGGAGATTGCCAGACTTCTTCGTCAAGACCCTGAACAAATGGTTTGAGGCTCTTCGTGTTCCTGGAACAAGCGGATGCCATTGGACTACACTAGCACGTGACAGGGACGGATGGAGACATTACTGGCGCCCACTCGAGCAAATCGATGAGTAATGGGATGTCAAGTGATCAAGTGCTTAAGTTGTTGATTTGGGCTTTCTGTGTTTCTTTTTTTTTTTTCCCCTTTTTGGGTAACACCCAGTGATGCACAGGGATTACTCCTGGCTCTGCACTCAGGAATTAGTCCTGGCGGTGCTTCGGGGACTATCTGGGCTGCTGGAAATCGAACTCGGGTCAGCCGCGTCCAAGGCAAACATCCTATCCGCTTTACTATTGCTCCAGCCCTCTGCCTTTCTTAGTGTAGGCCTGCATTGCTATGAATTTCTCCCTTAGTACAACTTCTGCTATATATCATAGATTCTGATAGCTTGTATCTTCATTCTTGTTCGTTTCAAAAAATCATTTTATTCCTTGATTTCCGCTTTGATCTAGTTGTTATTTTAGCAGTATTTTGTTCTGCTTCCAATCATTGGAAGTTTTCCCCATCTTCTTCATGCGGCTAATTTCTACTTTTCGTGGCATTGTGGTCTGAGAGGGTACTTTTATATGATGTCTGTTTTTCTGTATTTACCTTTTCGGGAATAGAGAACCCTTTCCCTTTAATATGTTCCATAACTCCAGTTCTTAGGCTCTTTTTATTGATATTTTGTCTGGTTAATCAGTCTAGTGGGAAAAGTGGAGTGTTGAAAAGTGGGGTACTGTTGTTTTCCATCTTTAGGTCAGTGAGCAGAAGCTTTATGAACTTTGCTGACCTTTCATTTGGTGCATAAATGTTGATCATAGTATTTATTGTTCTGTTGTTGTTGCCTTAGTAAGTAATGTTCATCACTGTCTCTAATTGCTTACTTTATGTTCAGTGCTGTTTGGTCTGCTCTAGGTATAACTGCCCCAACTTTTTATGGTCTGCCATTGGCTTGTGTGATTGTGTTTCATATTTTTATACTGAGTCTGTAAATTGTGTTTAGTCCTTTCAGTTTGAATCTGTATTTGTGTGTTCAGTTGTGTTTCCTATAAACAGAAAATATGTAGGTTTTCTTTTCCTGATCCATCCCAGCTACTCTTCCTTTTTCAGAAAGGAGAATTTAGTTCATTGACATTGAGATAATATTATTGGTGTATATAAAAAAGACTGTGTGTGTCTGTGTGTGTGTGTGTGTGTGTGTGTGTGTGTGTGTGTGTGTGAGAGAGAGAGAGAGAGAGAGAGAGAGAGAGAGAGAGAGAGAGCAGTTTATTTTTGTGTCTCTTTGCTTTTTATATGCAGCCTTTCAGTCATTCTTAAAGGACTGGACTGGTTTAACTGTTACAAGTGTTGCCAGCTCTTGTTTGTCTGGAAAGGTTTTTATCACTCCCTCCAATGTAAATAATGGTTTAGCAGGGTAGTGGACTCTAGATTGAAATTTTTGTTTTCATTTCAGTACTTCAACTGTGATTCCACTCTTTTCTTGTATGCTATTCTATGGGAAGTCTGTTGTGATTCTTATCTTTTTTTCTTGTATTTGGGTTCCCCCCCCCTTCTTACTGCTTAAAGTAATCGGTCTTTGTCTTTTGTTTTTGCCATTTTACTATGTTTATTGGTATTGTTTTGTTTGAGCCTGTTTTGTTTGGTACTCTGTTAGGGGCTCTTGAATCTGTGCCAGTGTCTCTCCAGAGACACAGTTGTTCTGTTATTTTCCACCATTTTTTCCCTTCACTTTTTCCTCTCCCTATAATTCAGAGATTAGTCTTCTTAGTGTTAGATTCTATTAAGAGTCTTATATTCTCTTCTATTAATTTTCTTTAGCTACAGCATTATTGTTGATTACTTGAATTTTGTTATCCAGGTTGCTAATAACGGTTCTCTACAATGCAGTATTCTGTTGCTGTGGCTTGCTGTTGTATTCTTTAACGCCTTTGATTCTATTTGTATAAACTCCTTAATACCATGGATCAGCTCTACCTTGAGTGGATAGAATTTCTTTCCTAATGAATTTAGTTACTGCGTTATTTCCATTTTCATTACAAGAGATCCTCCTTGACAAGGCTCAACATTTTTGTTGAGCTTGGGGATTTGCTGGGACTCCTGTCCCTATTTGCCAGTGCAGGTGATTCCTTTGTTTCCCATTGTCCTTAGACTTTTGTGGTGTTGACAGTTGAACTTTAGATTTTCAGTTATCTGAATATTAATCTGATTTTGTTATTTAATACTAAGGGGCTACTGCTTATCTGTTATTTTAACAATCTCCATGGCCTTGAGATGAAATTTCAGATGCCAGACAAGTGAAGATCCAATTACTTACGATTACCTATAGAATTATAAGGTATTTGAAGACAGATAGCAGAACACACATACCTTAGAAATAGTGATGTTGAAGGAGTAAAGTTGTAACTTGACCACATGGTTTTGCATATCAGAGTGGTCTCCTTGGCACCTTGGAATGACTGATTCAGTTTAGATGCAGTGTCCTCAGGTCCATGGGGAGAGGTTCTGGGGCCAAGGGTGGGGCAGCAAGACTTAGTACTGAGACTGCGGTAAGGGGGTTGGAGCTGGGTGGGATGGAGTGGGTGGAGTTCAAACCCTCATGATATTCTTGAATTAGGTCAGAGGTGGCGTCAGTTCCACAGGTTCATGGGGAGAAGTCTGGGGTTGAGGATCAGACAGTAAGCAAAAAATGTAAATTGTAAAACAAATTGAATTTGAGAACATTTTTTTAACTTTTTCTGTCTTTGTTTTTTTGTTTTGTTTTGTTTTTTACTATTTCAGGTGCAAGTGAAAGTGTAGGGAAACACATGCTGGAAGCCTGCAACAATAATTTGGAGATGGCAGTCACTATGTTCTTGGATGGTGGAGGGATTGCTGAAGAGCCCAGTACCAGTTCAGCAAGTGTCTCCACTGTCAGACCACATTCAGAGTATGAATTTATTGTTGTTAGGAGCTACTGATGCCTAAGTAAAAAAACTGCATTTTAATAAGTTAGATGATTTCTCTTAAAAAAAAAAAAAGTTGGAAGCATCTGAAAAAGTGTCAAGTGGGAAATTTTGTATTTATGTACTTCAAATTCTCTGAAACACTGTCATTTCTATTTTGTTTATCATTATTACTATAAATAGAATTAAAAATAGAATAAAATGAACGATTATTCTATTGTTTATACAAGTAGAATAATTTTATTAGTAAAAGAATTTTCTAGGACTGGATTAACCATGTTTTATAGACGAGAAAGCAAAGCACAGCCATTTTCCATGCTATATAATTAAGTAGAAGATTAGCAAGCAAATCTCAATATAGCTCAGATTTCCTAATTGTTTATTTTTCTTTGTATCACTAAAAGATTTTGAGTTGCCACGAAAAAAATTCTAAAAATTAAGTCTAGTTCTTTATACCTAAGGTACTTAAATGTGGTTAAACATTAGAAGTAGCACTGTAGCAGTGTCCTCCCGTTCATCGATTTGCTTGAGTGGGCACAGGTAACGTCTCCATTGTGAGACTTGTTACTGTTTTTGGCATATTGAATATGCCATGGGGAGCTTGCCACGCTCTGCCGTGCAGGGGGGATACTCTCGGTAGCTTGCCAGGCTCTCTGAGAGGGACGAAGGAATCAAACCCGGGTTGGCCACGTGCAAGGCAAATGCCCTACCTGCTGTGCTATCACTCCAGCCCACTTTATCATTAGAAGTACCATTTAATAAAAAAGAAGTATCATAAGCAGATGGGTTGTAATATATAGAGAATAATGATGATTAACAAACAAATTTGATTGTGGATGTGGGAACATATCCAGCAATTGAGCCTGGGCCTCCCATCATGCAAAGCATAGTCAGCCCTTTGAGCTATCTTCCCAACTCAGATTTGATGTTTTTGCCCATTACATTTGATTGGAGAGTTTTAAAGGAACAAGTTTTCTTGTCAGACAAAACTCCAGCCATCTTCAGGGAATATTAGAGATGAATGGTACTCAAAAGTAAACTATGGTTTTTTTTTTTCAGTGTTCCATATGAAATACTTTTTTAATTGAATCACCATGAGATACAGTTATACTGTTACAAAGTTGTACATGATTGGTTTCAGTCATATAATGTTCCAATACCCATTTCTCTCCCCATGTCCATTTCCCACCACCAATGTCCTTAGTTTCCTTCCTGCTCGCCCCTCTCTTTCTCTCTCTCCCCCTCCCCCCTCGAGCTTTTAGGCATTATGGTTTACAATATAGGAACTGAGAAGTTATCCTGTATATCTCCCTTTACCTCTTTTCAGCACTCAGTTCTTGTTGAGAGTGATCATTTCCAACTATCATTGTCATAGTTGTCCCTTCTTTATCCTACCTGCCTTACCCCTACACGCACTTGTGGCAAGCTTCCAACCATGCAAGTTTTCCTACTTTCCATGGGTATTAATGTCATACTAATGATGAGATTAATCCCGAAAATGAGTTCGATCATTCTGTCTGTCTGCCTCCCTCCGACTCATTTCACTCAGCATAATACTCTCCATGTCCATCCATTTATGAGCAAATTTTATGACTTTTTCCTGGTGACTAAGTAGTATTCTGTTATGTAGATGTACCATAGTTTCTTTATCCAGTCATCTGTTGCAGAAACCATGATTTTTGAAGCAGTTAAAAATTAGGTCCAAAAAGTGGAGGGAGAGAGAGAGACAGACAGATAGACAGACAGACAGAAGAGAAGCACCTGCATAGAGGCAGGCTGAGGGGGTGGGGGATAATGGGAGGGAAACTGGGGACTCCGGTGCTAGGAAATGTACACTGGTGGAGAGATGGGTTGTGGAACACTGTACGACTGTAAGGGTCTATCTCACATTGATTCAGTTTTTTTAAAAAATTGCTTCAGAGGCCAAAACAGTAGCACAGTGGGTAGGATGCTTGCCTTGCATGCAGCCCACCCGGGTTCAATTTCCTGATCCCATATGGTTCCCTGAGCACTGACAGGAGTAATTCCTGAGTGCAGAGCCAGGAGTAACCCCTGAGCACATCTGGATGTGCCCCCCCCCAAAAAAAATAGATTAGGTCCATAAATAAAATTTTAATCTCATAGTTCTTTTTAACTCTTACATCTTATACTAAAAGAGAGATACCCATCTACGTAGAAATATCAGCAGCACAGCAGCGTACCCATACTACTAGACCAACCCTAGCTGTGAGTTCCTCCTTCATTCCCTGGTATCTCTGGTTTTGGCCCCTATAAAATGCAGATGGGGCTGGAGCCATGGTACAATGGGTAGGTTGTTTGCCTTGCATGCGGCCAACCTGGACTCAATTCTCGGTATCCTATAAGGTCTCCCATCACTGCCATAAATAATTCTGAGTGCAGAGCCATGAGTAAATCCTGAGCATCACCAGGTGTGACCAGAAACACATAGACTATGCAGAAGACATGAGTTATGTTTTTACTAAATTAAAAATTTAGAAAGCCAAGTAATATTCTGAGCAGAACTTGTCTCTTTTGGGGGGCTGGAGATATAGTATAGCGGGTAGGGCATTTGAGTTGCATGCAGCCGACCTGGGTTCTGTGACCGCAGCACCACCTGGGAGTAATTCCTGATTGCAGAGCCGAGAGTAACACCTGAGCACCACCGGGAGTAATTCCTGATTGCAGAGCTGAGAGTAACACCTGTGCCTTGCCAGGTGTGACCCAAAAAGGAAAAAAAAAACCTTGCCTCTTTTTTGCTGTAGTTGCAGATTCAAGGGTAATATTGTTTCCATATGAAGTGTGAACTTTAGATACCACTCCTTTATTTGGTAAATTTCTCTAATGTTGGTCATATATTTGAGATGTAATATTACATTTTCCCTTAATTTAGCTCAGATTTTAATGGAAGTCAATATAAAAGCGTGTTTTAGGTCTGCCGTCACTTGGTCTTAGAGTGCACGCTTTGCACTTGGATGCTCTAGCAACACAGACAACAAAAATCTTTAAAACAAACATGATTTAATGTACAAAATATCTGTTATTTGATCACTTGTTTTTCTTTTATGTGTTTGGGCCATTAGTGCTTGAGGGCTGTTTCTGCAGTACTGGGGGGCCAGGTGTGACAGGATTAACTTCAGGGGCTCCCTCATTCAAAGCTTTGACGCTGAGCCCTTTGAGCCATTTTACTGGCCCAGTCAGTATCTGTCACTTGAATAATAGATAATAACAGTTAATTTGAAAGAACATTTATGTACTCACTGGATAGCACATTTCTTAGTTGTGTTTAAAAATAGTTGGAGAGACTGCAGACACAGACTTGTGTTCATGTGTGAGACCTTGGTTTTTACCCATGCAAAGCACGTACACACACAAAAAAATTTTTAAACAAAAAGGTAAAGGTCTTTACTTACTGAATTTCATTTTAATTTGACAGATTGTATTGCTGATTAATATTTGATAGTGGTTTTGAATTTCTAAACCAGTTTTTTCATGTTTACAGTTTTTTTAATTCAATTTGGTTATGTAGTTAATAGTCTTGTAAAAATTTCAGTAAGTTGCAAATCTTTCTTTAGCAACTACTACTTAGTTTTATCCATCTCAGTTAGTCTACAGAGTAAAGGTAAAAGGTAAAGGCCCTCCCGTTGATCATCGATTTGCTCGAGCGGGCCCAGTAACGTCTCCATTGGAGACTTTGTTGTTACTGTGTTTGGCATATCGAATGCTCTCGGTAGCTTGCCGGGCTCTCCAAGAGGGGCGGAGGAATCCAACTCGGGTCGGCCATGTTGGCCGCTTGTAAGGCGAACGCCCTACCGCTGTGCTATCGCTCCAGCCCAGTCTACAGAGTAAAGCGCTTATTTTGAGAGTCTAAGATTATTCAATGTATACTGTAAGGAAGATGTGGCAGTGATTGAGTAAGGCAAAAATTTACTTTAACTTCCTATATTTTCTTTTTCTTTTTTTTCTGGCTTTTGTGCCTGGAGGTAGTCAGGACTTCTGGTTCTGCACTAAGAGATCACACTCCTGGGAGAGCTCAGGGAACTTGAGCTCTATAGAGTGCCAGGGATCAAGTGGGCCTACATGCAAGGCAAGCAACCTATCTGCCTTACTGTCTGTCCAGTCCTTAAACTAGTAGTTTTCTTAAGGTAATTATTGGATTTATTTCTCTTTAAAAGAGGAATAATCGAGTTTTGATAGACACAGGATCTGTTCTTTCAGATTATTGAAATCTATGTAGTCAGCAGTGGCTGTTGTAAAACTATTTATCCTTCAGTCATGTGGTTTATTATGGTTTTGTCTGATTAGTTGCTCTTTGATTGCAGGATGTTCTTATTACTGAATGAATTTTTATACTTTATTTCATAAAGTGAAATTGAAGCTGCAGTTCCCAACTGCCCCAAACAGAACATTAAGCTCGATTTTTACTACTTGATACATGAGAATTAAAACATTGCACCTAATTTAGCATTTCTTATAATCTGGAAGATAATGAATTTGGAGTTTACTATTACTTGCCATAGACATTTGTCAGCAGAGTGTATTATCTGCATTGAGTTTTAAAATCAATTGATACTTAAGGTAAAATAATTTTACAGTATATGGGGTGGCGAGAGTGTGTTTTCAGAGTGGGGAAGTAAGTTAGTAAATTAAGAGAATGTGCTGCCAAAGATGAAACCTAGGATTTACATTGACCCACATGCCCACCCCTATTGTGATATTTTTTCTTGGGGGGATGTGGCAGGGTGGGGGCAGGTTATACCTGGCGATGCTCAGGGCTAACTCCTGACTCTTTGCTCAGGGATCACTCCTAGGGTGCTCAGACACTGGCCCCTATGTGAGCATTTTTCACTCAAATATGTAGATTATTAGTAAACTCTTTTGAGATAAACCTTGAAGAGTTCATGATTGATACATATGCATTGCTGGAAAGCCCTACTCTGCCTTTCTACCCGTATAGCTCCTTATGCCTCTACTTCCAGACATCCCATTAAGCCAGTGCCAACATCCCCCAAAAATTCAATTTTACTGCCAGTTGCTTTAAATTTACTATATCTGTGATTTGTGATTTGATGATGTAGATTTATGATTTGTTATAGTAGAAATATAATACTGCTTTTATTAAACCTCTATTTTTCCCTTCTTTTTCTTTGTAAATATTTGAGCCATCTATACTAACTTTTTTATACTAGTTCATCTTTTATGACATCCAGCAGTCATTTATCATGATTTGCTATGGTTCCTAAAAGTTACTACGTTTTTGTTTTTGGACTTCTTCATTTTAATCTATTCACAGTAATTGATGAGAACAGGTAACAGAAGTTTTCATAATACTATTTTCCTATTCTCTTATTAGAGAAGAAGTCCGTGCCCCAATTCCTCAAAAACAAGAAATATTGGTGGAGCCAGAACCTTTATTTGGTGGTAAGTTCACCTTTTCCCTCTTCAACTTCATCTAATCTTATCGCGGTCTTTAGTTTATTGTTATAGTTAGGATTTTAATCAGCCTATAAAAATTATTTAGATAAAATAAAAAAGATTATAAGAAAAGGATGAAGAAAATTATAAAAACTTAAGCCTTTTGATTTGTAAAAGCACTTTAGCTGAGTGTTTTTATTTAATCTTTGACAATTTTGATGTTTACTAGAGCAAGAAATAAAAGACTATACTATATACACTGCCTGGATTCAGAAGTAAAGAAGCAAAAACACTAGGAATTCTGAATATTAAAGTATACAGTATGTGTTATATATTCAATTCAGCTAGCCTGAGGTACTGCTAATATACTAAAAGTAATAATTTGTTTTTTGTTTCGTTTTTTCTTCGGGAGTGCTCAGGACTATTTCCAGCTCAGTGTCCAGGGGTTTGGTGGTGCTTCAGATTCCATGCCTTGCCATGAGTAATAAAACCCAAGTCTTCTGCTTGCAAAGCATGCACTCCAGTCCATTGAACTATCTAATGCCATAATTAAAAAAAAATTATTTAAAAAATAGTTTTATTAGGACACGATGATTTACAAAGTTGTCCTTAATAGAATTGTTTAAGACATAACAATATTCCAATCCCACCACCAGTGTCCCCCTCTTTCCACCAATATTCTCAGGTTCCCTCTCACCCCACAGCCTGCCCTTGGCAGACATAAACTTAAACAAATGGTAGATGAAATTATCAGGGGTGGAAAAAGAATCGTTGGTTAATTGTGATGACTGATTGCTAAGTGATTTTTACCACTATAAATAAGACATGATTTATTTATTGAAAATGTGTAAAATCCGTTAGCAAGCTAGCCATAAATTTACCTTTCTTAATCTAGTAGAGGACAGCCACATGCGTGGTTGGTGAGTGCATGCTCAATGCCATATGTTGGGAAGTTTGTTCTGTCCTTCAGAGAAGATCTTTAAACACTTGCAAAACTGGTTTCAAGGCTTTGTTTCCTAACCTATTGCCTGACTATGAAGCTCTGCATTGTTCCTTCAAATCTGGATGATATTCTGGCTGGATAGCGTATTCTTGATGAGGTGTTCATTTTGTTGAGTTTTTGTTTTATATCCTTCCACACTCTTCTGACTCTCAGAGTTTTATTTGATATATTTGCTGTACATTTTACACGCTTTCCTTTGTATATAAGTTCCTATTTTTATATCTTGCTGCTTTTAGTATTCGGTCTCTGTTTTTGGATTTCGTTATTTTGAGTACAGTGTATCTTGGGGTTTTCCTCGTTGAGTTTATTTTTGCTCAGACCCTTTGGGCTTCTTTTGATCTCATTGCCTGTAATCCTCAACTCTGGGAAAATCTTATTAGTGACTTCTATTGTTTCTTCATCATATTTGCCTTCCTCTTCTTCAGGGATTTTGATGATTCTTATATTGTTCCTCTTGAATTTAACCCAGAGGTCTCTTGTAGGCTGTTCATTTGTTTTCAGGCTATTTTCTACCTTCTGTTTTCCTAGTGGTTTCTTCCTTCTCATCTTAGAACTTCTTGATCTTTTGATCAACTTGTTATTCTGCTAGTCAGATCTTCTCTGTCACCTGCCATATTCTTCATTTTTATCATTTCTGATTATAGTAGTTTATTTCATTTCATATTTTCTTATGCTTTGCTGACTACCTGTGCTATCATTTCTTTGAACTCATTGAACACCTCATCATGGTGTCACTAAAGACATTGAGGATTTGCTGGTTTTGTTTATGTCTTCAGTGATACTGTTTTCACTCTTTGAATTTGGTGAGCTTCTATGTGTTTTCCCCGATCACGATCATGACCATCCTGTTGTTCTTTGATTGCCTCGAGCAGGCCCCAGTAACATCTCCTTCATCTTAGCCCTGAGATTTTTTTAAAAGTGCCATATTCAAGGCTCTTTCAGAGTTAGGAGAATGAGACCCATCACTGCTACTGGTATTTGGCATATTGGGTATGCCACGGGGAGTTTGCCAGACTCTGCTGTATGGCCAGGTTACATTTGGTATCCGGCCAGTTTGTCGAAAGTAGGAATGAGATAATAAGATGTCGCATAGCCGCGACATCTTATTATTTTGCCCATTGTTTTTTTATTGTTCTTGCTATGCTGGTGGTGATTCTTTGGAGTTAGACACTACCCCACCACCCCATCCCCACCCCCAAGAAGATGCTGAGGGATTAAGCTGGGGTATTCTCTTTCACCCACCACCTGGCCCCCTGGCGCCGTGTAATCCCATCAGCGGCCAAGACTCAGAGACTATAAAATCCAGATCCCGGACGAGAACAGTGCAGTCTCTGCCCCCGCGCCTGGGTGTTCCTTCCCGGAGTCCCTTGGAGGGGAGCGGGTTGAGCTTTCCTCCCCGCCCCGACCAGGGCTACGGCAGCCGAAGACCTCCAGGACCAGCCACCACCATGCTGAGACCACTCTCCGCACACATGAAGGTACTGGCAGAAGGACAAAGCCACGCGGGTTCCGGGGCCGAGACCTCCAAGCCTACTCGAATTGGAGTCGAGCATCTTCCACCCAGATTCTCCAAATTCCAGTAGGCGGGGGTCACACCCACCACCTGGCCCCCTGGCGCCGTGTAATCCCATCAGCGGCCAAGACTCAGAGACTATAAAATCCAGATCCCGGACGAGAACAGTGCAGTCTCTGCCCCCGCACCTGGGTGTTCCTTCCCGGAGTCCCTTGGAGGGGAGCGGGTTGAGCTTTCCTCCCCGCCCCGACCAGGGCTACGGCAGCCGAAGACCTCCAGGACCAGCCACCACCATGCTGAGACCACTCTCCGCACACATGAAGGTACTGGCAGAGGGACAAAGCCACGCGGGTTCCGGGGCCGAGACCTCCAAGCCTACTCGAATTGGAGTCGAGCATCTTCCACCCAGATCCTCCAAATTCCAGTAGGCGGGGGTCACACCCACCACCTGGCCCCCTGGCACCGTGTAATCCCATCAGCGGCCAAGACTCAGAGACTATAAAATCCAGATCCCGGAACATCTTATTATCTCATTCCTATTTTGGACAAACTTGCAGGCTATCGAATGTAGCCTGCCCACAGGGCAGAGTCTGGCAAACTCCCCGTGGCCTACCAAATATGCCAAATACCAGTAACAATGATGGGTCTCATTCTCCTAAAGAGCCGTGAATATAATCTCAGGGCTAGGATGAAAGAGACGTTACTGGGGCCTGCTCGAGGCAATCGACGATTAACAGGATGATGAAATGAAAATGAAATGAAATGAAATTCTCTTTCTACTCTTCCCATAACTCTGAGCAGTTTGTAATTTGTGAAGATTAGCAGCTGTAGTATGGCCCGTTTATATGGCACAGGTCAGGAGAGGAGGCTGCTAGAGGCCTAATCTGCCTCTCCAGATTAGACCCAGTGATGTCAGCTTGAAATGTAAGCCTCGCCTGTAATGGCAGAGCAGCAAGCTTCAGAAGGTCAGGAACTGTGGGACTGTTGATGAGGTTTTTTTTTTTTTTTAAAAAAATGTTATGAATGACGGGTTTGAAGCTGAAAAGTAATGCTCTGGGAACTTTATCTTCCCTTCATTGCAAGGAAAAGGGAGGTGTTAGACATGGAAGGCTAGGAAATAGATTTGTTGAACAGAGGCAACAAAGTTTCCATAAAATATCCACTTTGTCCTCTTACAACTCATTGATAAATATTAAGGAGAGTAAGCATAACTTTATACTCTTTCATTATAGACTTTATATAACTTAAAGATTATTGAAGAATTATATTTTTATTAGCTAGAAAGGACTCTAAAAATACTTCAGGGGTCAGGCAGTAGTAAACTGCCTATAAACTGTGCAGGACTGGATTTTGATTCCTAGCACCACGTAGCTTCCTGACCACATCTGTGTCGTGTTGGTGGTCCCCAGTACTGCAGGGTCCTCGCAGCACCTCATTCTCAGACCCTAGTATTGAACCACTAAATGGGTTGTTGTGTATCACTGGGACCCCTAAGCACCAATTAGGACTTCCTCTTTTGAAACAAAACACTTCAGTGTGAGTTTCAAAGCATGGATCCTCATACTTTTTCAGATTGTAATGCTTTTATTTCTATATATATGTATATAAATATATATATACACACATATATATAATGCTTAGCTGTTACTTGCTTTCCTCACTGCTGAGTTTTGCTGAGTTTTGAATTGAGATTTAGAAGCAATCATAGGTCAAACTGCCCCATGACAGTTGTACCAACCTGTAGTACAATGCAATGAATTCACTTACAGCTAAAAACTTTCACAGTAATTTTGCCAAAATAATAGGATTTCACTAAATTTCACTACACATTTTCAAATTGTTTAGTGAAAATAAAACGTATGTAAACAGTACTTGCACAGTTGAGTTTATAGCTAAATAATGTTCTTTGTGGAACATCACTTTTACTTTAACTATCACTGTCAAACTAGTTTATTAGGCTTAGGTATTTGGTAAACATTTTCTTGAAAATAAAGCTTACTACTGCTCCAAGATAAATATCAGACATTATTTGTTTGGTTTTTTTGTTTGTTTGTTTGTTTGTTTTTTAGCCATACTTGGCAGTGCTTAGAGTTAACTCCTAGCTCTGTGCTTGGAGGCTGCTCCTATTGGTACAGGTGGGGACCAAGTGCTGGGGACTGAACATAGGCCCCCTGCATGCAGACAGTGCCCTTAACCCATTGAAAACTCTCTTTAGCCCACCAACTGATAATTCCATCACTTAATCACTTAATCCCCGTTATTCATCGATTTATTCGAGCGGGTGCCAGTAACGTCTCCATTCATCCTGGTTGCGTGCTAGCGTAGCCCAATGGTATCTGTTCATTTTAGGAACATGTAGAGCCTCAAACCGATCATTTAGGGTCTTGACGAAGAAGTCTGACCATCTTATAGGTGGGCGTCCACGTGATCTTTTGATGTCTCATGGAATCCAATCAGTAATGGCTCTAGTCCAGCGGTTGTCTGTAAACC